TATTTCACAAATTGTGGTTTGTCTCTTCTCACTGTTGGTGGTTTCTCTTGCTATGCAGAAGCTTTTTAATAAGAAAATAATCTACTTGTTGATTGTTTGTTCTAGTTGAAGTGCAACTGAGGTTTTGTTCATAAAATATTTTCCAACACCAATGGTTCAAAAGTTCTACCTAATGTCAGCTCCAGCCTGTTCAGAATGTCTGATTTAATATTTAGATCTTTAATCCATCTCAACTTTAGTTTAGTGCATGTAGGGAGATATAGGTCTAGATTTAATCTTTGGCAAGTTGAAACCCAGTTTTTCCAGAACCATTTATAAAAGAGGCTATCTTTCCTCCAGTGAGGGTGTTTGTCTCCTTTGTCAAAGATTAGGTGGCTAAGTGTGTCTGGAGTTATTTCTGCATCTTCTAATCTGTACCACTGTTCCTCAAATATGTTTCTTTGTTGGTACCATGCTGTTTTATCACAGTAGCTTTGTAGTATAGTTTCAAGTTGGGGGCTATGATACCCCCTGCCATGTCTCTGTTACCTAGAATTGCTGTTGCTATTCTGGGTCTCTTCTTATTCAAGATTAATTTTTGCATTGTTTTCTCAAAGTTTGGGATGTACGCTCCTGGGATTTCATTTGGGATTGCATTGAATCTAAAGAGCAGTTTTGGAAGAATGACCATTTTCACTATCTTGATTCTTCCTACCTAGGAGCAAAGGATGTCTTTCCATTTTCTGATATCCTCTTCAATCTCTCTTTTCAGAGTGCTATAGTTTGCAGAGAAGAGATTTTTATTTCTTTTCTTAGGTTGATCTCTGTATATTTCAGTTATGTGCATGCTATTGTGAAAGGAATTGCTTGCCTTATTTCTCTCTCAGTGTTTCTGTTGTTTGTATAGAGGAGAGCTATTGATTTTTCTGTGTTGACCTTGTATCCAGGTACTCTACAGAATTTGGTTATTAAGTCTAGAAGACTTTTGCTTAAGTTTTTGGGATCTTCTATAAAGAGTATCATGTCATCTGCAAATAATCTAAATTTGGCTTTGTTTCCTATCTTTATTCCTTTTATTTCTTTCTCCTGTCTAATTGCTGTGGCTAATGTTTCCAAATGTATATTGAACAAGTGTGGTGATAGTGGAAATCCTTGTCTTGTTCCTGATTTTAGTGTGAAGGATTTCAATTTCTGACCATTTGGTATGATACTGGCTGTTGGTTTTTCATAGATGGTTTTTATCAGATTGAGGTAGAGACTGTCTATTCCAATGTTTTGTAGGGTTTTTATCAAAACGCATGTTGGATTTTGTCAAATGCTTTTTCTGTAACTATTGTGATGATCATATGGATTTTGTCCTTGGCCCTCTTAATACAGTGTATTACATTTACTGATTTGCATATGTTAAACCATCCCCTGCATCCCTCAGATGAATCCCACTTGGTTAGGGTTTATGATCTTCTTGATTATTTTCTGGATTCTATTTGCCACTATCTTCTTAAGGATTTTTGCATTTACATTCATTAGTGAGATTAGCCTATAATTCTCTTTTTCATTTTAGTCTTTCTCTGCTTTGGGGATCAAGGTGATGCTTGCTTCCATGAATGAAGTTGGGAATATTGCTTCCCTTCCAATTTCATTGAAGATTTGAAACAGTAGTGACACTGGTTCCTCTTTAAATAGGTTGTAGAATTCTATAGTGAAGCCATCAGGACCCAGGCTTTTCTTACTTGCTAAGTTTTTCGTTACATTTTCAATTTCATTGATTGATATTTGGTTGTTTAGAAGTTTTAGTTCTTCATTCAGCTTTTGTAATTTGTACATATCTAGGAGTCAGTCCAGTTCTTCTGTATTTTCCATCTTATTGGCATATAGGTTCACAAAGCAGGTACTGATGATCCTCTGGTTGTCTGCTCTGTCTGTTGTAATTTCATCCTTTTCATTTCTAATTGCATGGATTTTGGCCTTCTCTTTCCTTTTTCTGAAAAGTTTGGATAAGTGTTTGTCAATATTTTTATTCTTTTGAAGAATAGACTCTTGGCTTTGTTGATTTTTTTTCATTCTCATAGGCTCCATTGATTTGATTTCTATCCTGATCTTTATATTTTTCTTCCTTGTATGAGCTTTGCATTTTTCTGTTCTTCTTTTTCTAGAAGCTTGAAGTTCAGCATCAGGCTGTTTAATTGGGTTTGCTCTGTTTTCCTAATATTGGTATTCACTGCTATGAATTTACCATATAAGACTGCTTTCATTGTGTCCCATAGATTCTGATATATTGTATTGACATTGTCATTTAATTGTAGGAACTGTGAGACTTCTTTACTTTCCTCTGTGACCCATTGGTTAGTCAGGAGTATGTTGTTTAATTTCCATGTGCTTATGAAATTTTTGTGGTTTATTTTGGTATTGATCTCCAATTTCATCACACTATGGTCTGATAATATGCAGGGAATATCTTCAATTCCCTTGAACTTACTTAAACATGTTCTCTGAGCGAGTATGCAGTCAATGTTGGAGAATGACTGGTGTGCAGCTGAAGAAAATGTGTATTCTGATTTTGTGGGATAGCACACTCTCTAAACATATGTTAAATTCATCTTTTCAAGAGTTTGATTGAGTTCTAGTATTTCATTGCTTACTTTTTGTCTACTTGATCTATCTATTTGTGACAGTGGGGTATTGAGGTCCTGCATGACTATTGTATTAGTGCTTATATGATTTCTCATGTCCATTAGTATTAGTTTTATATAGTTGGGTGCACTCATGTTTGGTTCATATATATTTACGATTGTCATCGCTTCCTCTTTATTGTTCCTTTTACAAGGATATGGTGTCATTCATTGTCTCTTAATCAGTGTTGGTTTAAAATCCACTTGATCTGCAACAGGATAGTTATTCCTGCTTTTTTTGGTGGTTCCTTTCACATAGGGTATTGTTTTCCACCCTTTAACTTTCAATCCACAAGTTTCTTTTTGAATTAAGTGTGTTTCTTGTATGCAGCATGTTGTTGAATCAAGCTTCTTCACACATTCTGCCAGTCTATTTCTTTTGATTGGTGAATTGAGACCATTATCATTGATGCTTATAACTGATATGTATTGACTTATCATTGTCATGACATTTTCACTTTGTTGGATTCTCCCCCTTTGCATATAATTTCTTGTACAAGATGGCTTCATTCAGCTGGGCTTCCTGGGTTTGTGATCCTCAGTCTTTTCCTAGGATATTGTCTAAAAATTTTGGCAATGCTAGATTTGGTTTCATGAAGTTCCTCAAGGGCTCTTTGTCATGAAGGTATCTTATTTCTCCATCAATTTTGAAAGACAATTTTGTTGAGTATATCAATCTAGGTTGGAGGCTGTTTTTATTTAGGGCTTGAAATACATCACTCCACACTCTTCTTGCTTTGAGGGTTTGCATTGAGAAGTCTGCTGTGACTCTAATGGGCTTTCCTTTGTATGTGATTTATTTCTTTTCTCTAACTGCTTGTAGAATTCTGTTCTTCTGTTGGGTTTCTGGAATCTTAACTATTATATGCCTATGTGTAGATATTTTTTGATCAAGGCTAGTTGGAGTCCAATATGCCTCATTTGTCTGTATGTCAAGTACTTTTGGCTTGCTTGGAAAGTTTTCTGTCATCTCTTCTCCGAACAGTTTTTTATGTCATCTGCACTCTCTCCTGTTTCTTCATTGCCTCTGATCAGTCTTATGTTATTCTCTTTTGCATCGTCTAACAGGTGCTTGATATGTTTCTCATGATCCCTTAAAATTTTAAAGAAATTTTTCTTTTCTTGGTCACTAATTGCAATCTTATCTTTTATATCTGAAATTCTATCCTCACGTTGGCTCATTCTGCCGCATAAACTTTCAAAGAAGTTTTTAATCTCTTGGAAATCTCTTTGCATCTGTTTTATGGATTTCATTTGTTTCCTATGTTGGTATTCCATCATGTTTCTCAGCTCCTGTAGTTTTTTATGTGTGTCCACTCTAGATTTATTCATCGTGTCTTGGACTATGAGCACAATTTCTGCTGTTATCTGAGAAATTATTTCTGATTTCACTTTTTCCAGATCTTCTTTTGTTGCCACTTCAGGGAGTCCAGGTGATAGAGTATCAGAGTGTTCCATCTCATTTCCATTTCGGGTTGTTTTAGGTGATCTGGAAGTCTGGTTTTGAAACTTGTTTATGTGTCTTCTCATTTCGAAAGGGGGGAGGGTTGTGTGCTGCTGGCACCTGTGTGGCTTTGCCTCTTTAGTACTTTGGGCAGCTCACCTCCTCTTTACTGGGGCTAGTGGTACAGCATTCCATAATCCTCCTCCTCTGCACTGGGGGCAGTGGTATGGCAGCCAAGAAGCCTCTTCCTCTATATTGAGGTTAGCTCACCTCCTCTGTGCTGGGGCTGGTGGTATACTGGCCTGGAAACCTCCTCCTTTGTGCTGGGGTAAGTGGTATGGCTGCCCAAAAGTACGGCTTCCTGTTCTGACAAGGCCACTGCAGAAGCCTACAAGGATTCACAGAATTCCTGAAGGCAGAAGGATATGTCAGTTAACAAGTGCTCAACTGCAATGAAACAGGGCTTTTCTGAAAGAAGATGCTAAACAGAACCTTTATCATGCAGCAGAGAGAGGCCCTGCCTGACACAAGCCCACCCCAACAAAGGACAGATTGAGCCTTTTGCTTTGTGTGATCACAAGCAGTGATCTGGAGATTAAGCCATTGCTAATGTCCCATTTCCAGACCCCTCAGTATTCAAGGTATAGTATGTGAACAAGACCAGACTGCCTGTCTTGTAGAGGGCAATTGGAAAGCTTGGGTCACAAGGCTGTTGTTTATGGAATGGCTGCAGGAGGTGTTCACACCAAACATTAAGAAATACCTTTCTGACAACTAACTGCCTGCAAGTGCCCTCTTCTGATGGACAATGCCCCAGAACAACTCCAGCCTTGGTGAATGACATGGGTGCTGAGTATAACTTCATTAAGGTCAGGCTCCTCACTTCCAACACAACACCTCTTCTGTAGCCCATGGACCAGCAAGCCATCTGCAACTTCAAGGAGCCATACACGAAGATGCTCTTCACCAGGTGTCTTAATGTCACTGAAGAGACATCCTTGACTCTGAAAGTGTTCTGGAAGAAGCACTTCAATGTCCTCCACTGCATGAACTTCATTGACAAAGTCTGAGAAGATGTCACCTACTGGACCTTAAGCTGACACTGGAAGAAAACTGGTCAGAATGTGTCACCAAATGTGATTTTGAAGGGTCTGAAGTAGTGATAGTGAAGGTGATTGTGGCCCTGGGCAGGAGTTTGGGTCTGGATGTCTGTGGCCATGGGCAGGAGATTGGGTCTGGATGTCAATGGTGCAGATATAGAGGAGCTTGTTGCAGACCATAAGGAGGAGCTCATGATAAAAAAAACTTGCTGAACTCCAGAATGAGCAGCAGAAGATCTTTGTTGAGCAACATTCCAGTGAGGAAGAGGAAGACAGGGAGGAGGTTTGTAGCTATTTGATAAAATCCATTATGGCAAAATGGAATGAGTCTGAAGGTTTCTTTGAGAAGCACCAGAACAACATAACTGTAATAAGCAGTATTAAATCTGATAAATGATAATGAGGTATCTTATTTCAAGAAAATTATGCTGCACAGAAAAAAAGTGACATTAGAAAGATTTATTTTCAAAATTGACCCTGAAGGTAAGAGACAAAGAAGAAAGGAAACTCCTGAAGGATATCTCCCCAATGTCCTTAAGAAGGAGAACTCTCTCTCCAAATAATACCCTCCTTCCCAACCATCTTCTGGCCCTCCATGCCAGAAGCTTCCACAAACAAGGATTGTGTTCCCTCTCTTCATACTGTGTTGTAATTTGTTTCATATTTTTATGGTTAAAAATACATATGGTTCAGAATGGATTAACTATTTATGTTTAACCTTATGGGAAAATTTGTTTCAGTTCATGACCAATACAGTAAGCAATCTGAATTGTAGACCTAATTAAGTTCATGAACCTAGGTGCCACTGTATTCCATAGCTCATCAGTCCCTGGCATGGCTTAGTCTTTAGAGGTGGAGGTTCTGTGCTTTCTAAAGAACTTATCATGGGCTGCCTGGAAGCCTATAGCACAGGTGCTCTCTTATTTTTCTCAGCTGTGGTCAGTTGTCAAAAGCAGGCACTCCATGGCTTTTGGAGATCCAGCTTCCTCCTTTTCCCTCTGGCATTTAGGATCCCTCCTTCAAAAATTTCTCCAATCTACTTCCTGCCTCCCCACTCCTGTGTGTGTAAATACAAGTACAGAATGCAAGAACACAATGAGATATTTGGGTTGATTTTTCAAATGCAACACTGTTCACAATAACTAAAATGTGGGCTCATTCTCAATGTCCATCAATATGGGAAGGAATAAGCAAAATATTTCTAAAGAATACCAGAATGTATTGTACACCTGAGAAGAAATACTTGAGTAAGTTTCCACAGGTAAGATTCACTTAAGTTTAAGTGTCCTGTATAGTTTGGTATTTTCCTTGGATAACATTTCTATAGATACTAGTGACAAAAATTTAAAAATAGCAGAGGTAATGGAATACAAAAAATATAACATGTGTTAGTTAATGTATGGCACTGAATTCTATTTGAGTGCAAATATTTTACCTACTATTTAAAAAGCTATTCTAAAAGCACAGCAATGAATATTTTAAAACATAAATATTCCTAAATTTTTATGATATATATCACCATTCTGAATCATCTTGCATTTAGAGGTTTAAGGTTACCTGCTGCACTCTCAGAGGACATGGTTTCAACAGCTCCCTTGACCATTCCTCCAACTTAATTGCACCTCAGTTATGCAGTTGTAAATATACATTAGCTTTGGACCAGTGCCAAGGCTACTAGGGAAGTCTGCAACTCAAATCACACAGGAATTGTACAAGGAATAAAGTAACATTGACTGTGGAATACAAAGCTAGTTTAGAATGGACTTCACCTTTGAGGATAGATTCTGAAGAGCTTTTCCTTATCTATTTCTATGGACACAGTCTGTTCAGGGACATAAGAGGAAAATGTGTCAGACCCTGCATGCTTATCTGGATGTTACAATCTCATTTTGTCTTGACTGCCATGTTTAACAAATTGTGAGGAAAAATTCCCTGAGTATTTGGGTGACTTAAATGGGTAAATTATGTTAAGGTCTTTGCTGATACCTCAGAGAGAAGGAATTATAATGATGTCCTATGCATCAGCTGAGAGAACTGGTGAAATTTGCTGCAGTTAATTTGTTGCAAGAAGAAAGAGGGCTAGAGGATGATCTGGTGCTCGTGGGTATTACTGTGAGTCTAGACCACCCACGATTATTTTAAAATAAGAGGTAAAGCACAGGGATAAAGAAGCTAAAAATGTGAGATTGAGGCAGGAGGCTCCAGTCATTATTGGGTGATAATTTTATTTGTAGAAGGTGTGAGCTGTCATCCTGCTAGAAGACTAGGTGTGCACCACACCTCCAGTGAACTAGCCAGGGAAGCAGAATTGGGACACCCTATTACATCCTGCTCAAACATTTCCACCTAATGCCAGGCAGGACATTTAGCATCTTCATGAGAACTTCGTTCTTGCATCTCCTTAGACTTTCCACCTGGGGTTTCATATCTTCAACCTCACTCGACAAAACCACACTACCCATTGTTATTTTTCAAAATAGTTTTCAATGACTTCCAGAAAGACCTGACAAAACAGAGATATTTTTGCTATTTGAACATGCTACTCCTATGAAATGTTAGCTAAGATACAAGTTCCATCCCAGAGCCTTACAGCTGCCAGCTAGATAATCTAAGGCAAGAAAGATTCCAGAACACTTTCTGCTCCTCTGTAACCAATGCACTTCATTTCATTTCATTTTTGTCCACTCGTAATTATCTTTCATATCAAGCGTAGTTCTGTTTTTTCTGTGTAAGTATCATAAGATGGAGAGCTATGTCATGATTTTTCAATAGTATTCCAATGACCTCTAACTTAAATGGAATCAAGCTGAGTTAAGTATGACAAGAATATCTAAATTGGAGGCTTTCTTTGAATGAGTAACCAGTACTATCTATTCCTACAGAAAAAAAAGCAGCAAGGCTAAGAAATTAGCCAACATGAGGAACTTCACAGAGTTCTTGCTGACAGGATTCTATAATGACCCCATGCTCCAGAAAGTGTATGCCATGCTCTTCTCCCTGATTTACCTGGCAGCCCTGACAGGGAACCTCCTCATCATTGCCCTCACCACTGCTGACCATCATCTCCAATCTCCTTTGTACTTCTTTCTGAAGAACTTGTCCTTTATTGATATCTGCTACATCTCAGTCACTTTCCCTAAGTCCATCATGAACTCTCTGACCAGCATCTATTCTATCTCCTTCCTGGGCAGTGCCTTGAAGGTATTCTTTCTTTTTGTCCTTGGTGGCACAGAGTATGCCCTCCTTCTAGTGATGTCCTGTGGCCGCTATGCTGCCATCTGCCACCCACTGCATTATGAGGCTCTCATGAACAGGGACACTTGTGTGCAGATGGTGACTGCCTCCTGGCTTGGAGGATGCATCTATGGAGCCCTGCACATGACAGGTACATTCTCTGTTGGTTTCTGTAAGGCCAACCACGTGAGTCAGTTCTTCTGTGTGACCCCATCACTTCTCAAACTTGCCTGTTCCAGAGAGCCTGTGCTGGAGCATGGGTTGATCATTGCTAGCTGTGTGGCTGTTTACATGTGTTTTATTGCAATGCTTGTGTCTTATGTTCACATTTTTTCTACTGTACTTAAAAATGCCATCTTCAAAAGGCAGAGTGAAAACACTTTCCACCTGTCTACCTCACATCACTGTAGTGATATTGTTCATATGTTCTGGGTCTGTTGCATATGTAGCTGAAAAATTTATAACTTCATCTTTGCTGAAAGCATTAACATTGCTGTTTTATACAGTGCTTCCCCCCAAGGTGAACCCTGTTATCTACAGCCTGAGAAACTGGGAGCTGCAGGGCACCTTGAGGAATGTGATAGCTGGGGAATGGTCTAGGATTTTCATTTTAATTTAAAGATGTAAAGTTTAATTAAGTTAGTGATTTCACTGCTGATAATACTTCTATTCCCTTTTGCTACTCCACAAATTCTCTAATTTGGTGTATAACAAAGTACTAGGTCAATGTTTACTCTTCCCTGTGGAAATTTTCAATTCAGTAGCTCTCTTTCCACTATTGACTTTGTATCATAGGATTTTACATAAAATTCTGGATGATTTATGTTGTTCAACAACATTTTATAGCATACTGAAAACTCACAATATTTTTAGGGAAATCACAACAACAATGTATTTTATTCTCATTCTGGGAAATACACTTCATATTCAAAGCATCTGTAGTTACAGTGCAGTCACATAGATCTCATTACTTGGGTTTAAAGGCTCTTGCTATTCACGCTAATGACTTCTGGTGGGGCTTGGAACAACCCTCAGAGGCCTGAGAACTGTGAGGTCCAGAGGCAGCCATGATGGTGCTCAGGCCTAAGTCCAGATTCAAAGAGGTCTCAACTGCAAGGCTTTTCCTACCATGTGAGGAATTCAAAACCCACAGTTCCCAAGGTGTTCTTAACCTCTGTTTTATATTCCATTTCTTTTTGTCTTGTGTCCATTGCCTTTTTATCCTTCTTTAAACTTTGGGGTTTTTTATGTCAAATATAGCCTTACTCTTTCTCTTTTTCCCCCTCTGTGACCAATTAGATTTTATTTTAATTCTTTTTATTTATTGTAATACAAGTAGATATTAATAAAAAACTATTCTATGAAAAATAAGTCTACATAACAAAAATTATTAGAGTAAAAATGGTAAATACACTTTGTATCATGATCTTAAGAGACTATATTTTTAATTACTAATCTACCTCTAGCTTATTTTCTAATAATACTATACTTTTTGGCATAAAACATTTTAATAATTAATAAAATATCTGAAACAGTATAATTTTGAAGTTTCTTTTCTTTTCCAAATATTATTCTTTTTAGTCCTTATTTACATTTTCAGTTTTTCACAGCAGACCGACAATGTGATAGTTACACATGTGTGTTAGATTTATTTCATTTAAGAGTATGCATCCATTTATCTAGAAATGCCTCAACGTTATCCTTATTTATAGCTGAATAGTAGTCTATTCTATAAA